TGGGGTATGGTGATTGTGACCGCTGGCCTACGAAGTGAGATCATAACTTACCAAAATTTTGGATTGCTGGTTGGAATCTATCGAGCCGAAGAAAGAAAATGATAGGGAACATCAAGGCCCCTTTGATTAAATTGTGTACAGAGTGAGATATCGGTCGGCATATGTAATATTAGCGGAGTTTCATTCCTTTGTGCCTCAGCTCATTGGATGTGGGAGAAATGGAAAAACCACTCCATTTGAGCATTGAGGAAAGTATAGATTTGTTCAGAGAAAAAGAAAAAAGAAAACTACACAATGAATTTAGATACCAAATGTATTTTCTTATATCAGAAATTGTAGAGTTAAGACGATAGGGCGAAAAGCCTATTGAATTGAAAATGAAATTCTTTTACTATTCGTTCTCTTCACTCAGTTCCCATTGTCTTGCACTATATCTATTTGTATCGAAACAGGGAGGCCATAAACATGGAAGTATTCTCGTACATGAAGACCAGGAAAAATGTTGAAAGCAACCTAAATTTCATAAGCAGGGAACCTCGCCTGAGATATGCCATTCCTCCGATACCCTCAAAGAGTGAATATGGGTGATCGCCTCCATGCATCTTTCCTTCAAATATAAGTTTCTCTGCTCTATCGGACAAGAAGGAAGCAAATGCTTTGGCCCTATATAAGACCTCTGCTTTGCCAGTCAGTCGATAGAGTGAAAGGAACACGTATGCGTTTCAGCTTATACCGTGACAGATTCCAACTCGCTTAAGCAGACCACGCTTCCAAACTACCTCTCCGGCATCCAAAGAGTGAATATGGGTGATCGCCTCCATGCATCTTTCCTTCTAATATAAGTTTCTCTGCTCTATCGGACAAGAAGGAAGTAAATGCTTTGGCCCTATATAAGAACTCTGCTTTGCCAGTCAGTCGATAGAGTGAAAGGAACACGAATGTGTTTCCACTTATACCGTGACAGATTCCAACTCGCTTAAGCAGACCACACTTCCAAACTACCTCTCCGGCATCCAATGCCGCTTGTAGAAAGTCCTTGTCTCCAAGAACCTGTTGATTTACATCATTGTAAAAAAATGGGTACTGAGATGTTGCAATTGTTTTCCAGAACAACTTTAAGGGGAAAATGTGGCGTGACAAGGAGTACCTCGGCTGCTTTTACTAGGGTAAGTGTGACCCCAGGAGCACCGTGACACCAATGTACGAGACGGTCGGATTCACTTCCCTCACTGGACAGGTAATTTCCACTGGGGAACCGGTTTTTGATCATGTAGCGAAGAGTACCCTTAACATCCTCCACCTCATCTGGTTTCAATTCCATGTCCATCAAAACATGCATAATTCCTGCCAGTCCATGCGCAGCTCCCCAGTATTTCTTTCCATGCCATTCATACATCAATGGACATCTTCCCTTTCCCGCCAGTCGTTTACCCGACTTAATAATTTCATCCACAACCGATCGCTGTGCAATTTCCAAGTTCAAGCGCAAATAAATACAATTGATAATGTTTTATTCTCTAAACCAAAAGAACATTCAGGCAGATAGGACTAAAAACATGAGGCGTGACAAGGACCCTGCTCTCCCATATAATAACTCATTCGGGAAGTCACTAGGGAACCTGATCTGCTCTCAGAGCAAAAACAATATCAAAATGTAAAAGGCAAGCAATATAAACCCACAAGTGCAGTGAACACCGGAAAAGAAAAGGGAGATAAGTAAAAGCTAAAATATAAAAAGCAACAATGAACCACCTCCTTGAATTTTGCCAAGTAGCGATCTTGTAAAGTCGTATCACTAGAATGCTTCGCAACGACAGCACCAAGGGCATAAACACCAGCACGTCCGCAAATGAATGTCACGATCCTACATCCATGCAATTGCATAACGTATGAGGCATAGTCAAGTTCAAAAACTCACTTCCAATGCAATGTTATGTACACCATGTTGAGCTAATTCATGGGCTTCATTTGGAACGAACGATATCTTCCGAGTGAATTTTAGTTAACCATCCCAACATGATTTGTCAATTTGGAGTAGAAAAAAAGAAAAACATTCAAGTTACTTTCTCATTAAGCACGCATCGATTCTTGACTTTGATTGATATAGCACTATTCTATAAAAAAAAACACATGTAGCATTGAAGAACCAAAAACCATGTCTAGCAACACCAGGAAATCTTACAACACACTCCGTTAACGATAGTTTCTAATGGCATTTAATCAGAAACCAAACCAATTCAACTAGTTCTAACAAAAAAAAAAGAAGCAATTCATATAAAAAATGTAACTGTGGTCGAGATTAAAGAAAGAGAGATTACCCATAATCTTTATAAGCTAATCACAAGCCTTAACAATGTCAGAGCATATTTTAAGATCGTTCTCATTCTTGGTAACTTGGTATGCTTTAAAGAGAAAATAAGCTGTCCCTAGAGCTCCACTGTAGGCAGTATAATCCTGCACTCTCTTTCCACTCAGACCCCATGTCTCCCTCACCACCTGAATCCAAACCAAAAAAATTATTATTTTACAAAATCTCAACAAACCCAGAACAAAAAAGACATTAGAAACACCAACTTTAATGCCTATAAACATAATTCACATGATGGGCATAAATTTTGTTAGGGGGGGGGGGAAACCGAAGTGAAAGTACTGTAAAGGTGCCAGCTTTATCTCTCTATGAACAAACCTACTGATTTCATGCACGAAGCGAAGCTAAAAATGAAAATTAAGTAACCCAAAAAGAGAGTTTCGAGAGAATACGGTTTCTTTGAGGGTCAAAGCTGCGGTTTTGAGATGATCAGAGAGTGTTTTGTAAGGTAAAGACAGGAGATTGGTTAGTGAGTCAGTGGAAGTGGCTGTGGACACTGTTGATTCCGCTACAAAAATTGGCATTTCATTTGGAAAGAAACGATCGGACATTTCTTTTTCTCTATTGCAGGCTTTGTTTTTCTTTAAAAAAAAACAATTTTAGTGAATTCCAAGCAATATAAGAGGAAGATGACCAAGAAAGAACCTTTCGAGCAGGTTCCAAGTACAAGTGTGATAGTAAAAATCCACCAGATATCACATGAAAATGTTCGATTTTTCTATATTCCACTTTTTTGGATTAAACACCAATTTTTTTTTATTTTATTAATTGTTTTTGTTGTCTTTTTTATCTTAAAGTTTCCTCTAGATTAATCTAGATTAATTTAAATCGTACATCTAGTTTTAGTAAGTGAGTAGATTTTTTGCATACACAAAGACTCAAACTCAAGAATTTATTTAAGTAATATCAAATTGTTTATCACTTGAACCAACTCCTATTAATTTTATTTTAATAATTTAATTTTAAGGATTGATTTTTAATCATTCTTGTATTCATTTAATTTTGTAATAAACATTTTTATTGATTCTTAAATTTCAGTATGTTAGTAGTTTATATTAACTAATATTTGAAGGAAAGTAAATTTGTCAAATTAAATAAATTGAATCAACTAATTAGATAATGACGTAAGTTACCATTTGATTAAAAATTTAATTTTTAAATTAAATTAAAATTAAAATTAAATTGATAAAATATATATAAATAACATGAATTCAATATATAATTATATCAAAAAAAATTTATTGTCATGTCATATTCTCTATTAAATATCAATGGTTGACGTTTTGATTAACATCATTTAAATAATTAAATGATCTAATTGATAAATTTAAAAAACGATTATTAAGTTAAAATCTCTTTATAATTAAGTGGTCGTAGTGTAGTTTACTCTTGAAATAATTAATCTTACAATTTTTTAATTTCTTATTTTTATTTTCATGTTAATCATTCTTGATTTTTTTTAGTATTTCCTATATTTTTAAGATTTATTTCTAGAACTTCTTTAAATTTTTGTGGTTTATCTCATGTTAGATTAAGTTGAAATTGAGTTTATTAACATTTTTAAGTTCGAATTTAAAATAAATAAAATTATTTTTTAGATAAGATCAAATTAAATTTAAATTTAACAACAATATCATACCAGATTTAAAATAATTGAAAATCTGACCCATCTCGACTCGGATTAATCTATGTATGGGTCAAAACAAACATTCAATAAAGAAAGTAAAAGTATATGTTACTAAATAAAACTACGTATGAAAAATAAATTATTCTTGACTGAGATGTGCTTCAAAATTCAATAAATATAGAATTCAAGGTATTTGTGATGGCTTCTATCATAATAGTCAACATTTCGTTTTTGGTTTTTTATTTTTTTTTTGGGGGGGGGGACAAAGTCAAAGCTAATTAATTGTTCAAACGCTTAACGAGTTAACTCATAACTTAAGTCCACATTATCATTAATTACTAATAACCTTAATTATTATATTCTAAATCAAAAAAATTTTAAAAAAAAATTCACTTTTTTGTAAAGCCAAGCTTTGTGTTGGTACTTCAAATTTTAAAATTCAACTTCTCATTATAATATACTTTTGTATCACTAAAAAACCATATTAGTTCAAAAATGATATTTTTTCGGTGTAAATTAACTTAAAAAAACAACATTGTTGTTTTAGTATCATTTGTCATATCATGACTTCGTAATTGTTTAATGAATATGATAGTGAATAAAACAGAAACAATTTGAAAGTTGAATGATAAATTTAAAACAATTTAAAGTTAGGTAATGAAAACAAGACTGAGAAGAAAGTTGAGTGATGGGATCTACAATTTAACCATATAAATATTATTGAAAGTAATGGAGTAATAATTTCTTAACAAAATCTACGAAGAACGGTTCATGCATTTAAGTTTTACACTTTGAAAAAACAATACCAAAGTCGGCTTCATAAACTTGGTTTTGAAAGCAGACTGTCCCTAGTTGGAGCCATCGATTATTGGACAAAGACTCGTTCCACTAGAAATACTACCTTGCAGACATTATTAAATGCATCGTCAATGACTGCGATTTGCCAACTCCATCCCAGCTCATCTCCAAATCTCTATATAAACTCTCTCAATCTTCACCCATTGGATATCATTCCACAGAGTTCAAAACTAATTAAAACCCAGATTTTGCAGAGATGTTGAAGCAAGCTTCCTTCACTTTCTTTCTGGTTTTCTCTTGTTGTATGAGAGCTGAGTCCCAAGAGTTGAAGCATCTCACCAATGAGCTTCAAGTGAATGTGGCAGCAAATAGGGTTTGGGAGCTTTATAGGCACCTTGGGATTTCAAGGCTTACTGCTCAAAATCTCCAGAACGTGATCCGTGATGTTCAAGTTTTGGAAGGCGATGGTGGTGTTGGGACGATGCTCAAACTCACTTTTGCTCTAGGTACTTGCATAAAATCTTGCCTATGTCTTGTATTCTTCCAACCTATGCGTATAACCAACCGTTCTAAACCCATTTCTGTAACCAGGGAATTCAAGCTACACTGAAAGATTCATGGAGGTAGATGATGAAAAGAGGGTGAAAGTGGCAAAGGGATTGGAAGGAGGGTGTTTGGCGATTGGTTGCTCAGTTCAAATTGTTCGATTTGATATTATTGAGAAAAGCAGTGATTCATGCATTATTAGATCAGATATTAGTTATTCTGTGAAGGAAGAGTTTGAAGCTAATGATCCAAAGCCCAACATTCAACTCCTAGCAGCTGCCGCACATATTGCTAAAACATTTCTCGAAAGCTCAGAAACTTCTGCATCACTTTAATTTAAAGTGATTGATGAAGATGGAGGGTTGAATTTTTTAATATTTTCTTGTTAGAAAATTTGGCCCTCACCTTTGTATAATTTCAGAAATATACAGGAATAAGAATTTTATGAGTTCTCAATATATACACATGTTTTGAGTTTAAAGCTTTATATTTCAATATATACATGTCATTATCCTTGATAATTCAAGGATTAAATCTTTATTCTCATTTAGTAAACACCAAACCATTATAAATACGTCTTGGTTTCAACTTTAAAAGCCATCTTAATCGTATCTTGGTTGTAATTAAGATAATCTTTGAAAGAACTCAAAGCCAGGTTTTCTTTTATTTCTCCATGTTCATTTTCTTTGTTATGTTTTGCAATCTCCATATCTTTTCTATTTTTTTCTATCATGTCTTATTAAGTTTATATTATTTTATTAAGATGAACTCATAAGTAACCTCAATAATAAAAATGAATATTGTTATCTATAGAAAGTTTAAGTTCAAACTGTCGAAACGATTTTTCCTTAAAAAGTGAAAAGGTGAGATTTTGAAAACCACATTAATTCTTAATTATCCTCTTTTTAATTTAAAAACAAATGCGATTTAAAAGACCTCTCGTATCGAAAATTTTTGGATTTCCTTTACGATAGCAAAAAATACGGTTCAAAGAGTCGCCACCAATCTTTGATTAGGGTGTGATTGGGCACCCACAAATGTTTTGTCATTTTAAATAAAAATTAATTTCAATTAAAACAACAAGTTAAAGTATGCGTTACCAAAATCGAGTTCGGGAGTCGGTTACGAGTAAGGAAGGATTAACATCCCCCCACAACACCCTAAATCGGTACCTAGTCGATTAATTAACGTCTTTGCAATGAACTTTACAAATTCGAACTTAATTTGATTTTTGATCCCATAAAACAAATATGTGAATTTAATAATATTCAAAAGCACTCAAATAAATTAAATTTAAATTACCAAGTTGTTTTAGAAAGATAAAGAATGTTCGATTATTTACAAATATCGAGACCAGATCTTAAAAGCTATAACAACCTTTCTCAATAAATTTAAATAGCCGAACATTTCTTCCATTCCCAAATTTTAAAGTGATGAATCAATTTTTAAGCGTCACTAATGTGATACACTTTTATTTTAAAATCATTAAAAGCGGACCTCAAATGCGTTATGACAACCCACTTAAAACAATTTTAAATTAAAAGTGTATTACCCTTAATCCAATTATGTAATATGTCGAGTTATGCAAATGATGTTACCATGCGAATCGTGCAAAAAAGGATGTCATGTCAAAATTAATTAAACAAAATTGAAAAATATCATACAACGTGACATAAAAAAAAAATTACATACATTTTAAAATTAGAAATTATAAACCATGCATATTAACATATAATGTACAAATGTGACTCAAATATAAAAATAAAAACATGACATGCTAAACTATAAATTTTAAAAAGTGTATATACATATTAAGATAATGGCTAAATTTAAATACACATAAAATTAAACATGCAAATCGAAAATTAAACCAAGGACTTAAATAAAACAATACGCATAAACAAGGGATCTACACCTAAATAACCCAAGTTAAGTGGTCTCTACGTAATTTTCCTAAAACACTAATCCTAAATATTTAAGGACTAAAAGGTAACATAAAAAAAGAGTTCAAATGTCTAAAACAATAAAAGTTAAATACAATAATACTAGTTAGGACTGAAATTAAATGTAGGTGAAATAAAGGGACAAAATTAAATACATGAAAACATTCGATTAGGGACTAAAATGAATTTAGAAGAAAACTCAAATGAACAGTAGCTCAAATAATCCAAAAATTTTAACTAAAACCTAAATCTGTAAAATAAAAAAATCAGGACAAACTTAAAATGTCAAATTTCGAAAACAGACTTTAAAAATGACGGAAATGCAAAAAAATATAAACTTAAGGGGACAAAAACCTAATTTACCCAAAAAAAATTAATATGTAATCTAACTAAAAAAAGCCCTAAGTTAATTTACTAAACCTAAACACCCAGTCAGCCATTCTTCTTTCCCCTTACACTCTTTCTCTTCGACAGTCCAAAACCTCTCTCTCCTGGCCTTCATTGCCTCAGCCACCATACTTTGGTGGCCACCTCTCTTCCGAACATAGCTCGCCATCACACTCTCTCTCTCATGCTTGGTCGCATGACCACCGGCCGAAACACCCAAGAGCCCACGGTCAAAACTCACCATAGCCTCCATCGCCGCTTTTCGTCCTAAAACTCTACACAATCGAGCCTAATAAAGTCGAGCACCGTTCAAGATGGTTCCCTCCTCTCCATTCAACACAGGCCACGACCGAGGGAAAACAACCACCGCGGCCCCCTATCGCTCGTTTAACAAGTTTCTACTCCAGACGAAGACTTGGGATCACTCATATCCGACGAAATTGAAGCGAAATAAGGTATAAAACTAACTATTCATTTCTGTTTTTTACTTTAAAACTTCCTTCTTTTATCATGCGTATATCAAAATAGAACACACACTACACTGTAAATAAAAAATGAACTTAGAATGAATATACCTCGAGAAACTACTATTGCCTTTATGAATGAGTGATATCTACTTCCACTGGCAGAGTGAATAAAAGAATGCTTTCCTTTATTCCTTCCAAAATGGTGGTCGAGAGACCTTTACAAAAAAAAAATTGATTTGTTCTCTTTCTCTGTTACAATGGTCTCTGTTTTCTCTTGTTCTAAATCCTCTCTTTTCTGTCTTTGATCTCTGGTTCTTCTTGTTCTCTCGGTTAATTCCTGATCACGCTCGGCTAATATCTCCCTCGGCTCATATCTCTCTTTTGTTTGTCTGTGTAATCTCCTCTCTGTTTTCAGTGGTTCATCCCCCTTTCTAGTAGTTAATTCTCAAATAAAACTGACCCCCATTTACAGTTTCTTTATACGATTACAGACCCCAATATTTGGGTAACTTCTAATAACCACTTTTGTTTTCCAAGGCTTCACGTGGGTTGGAAGCTGCTCTACTGGGTCGTTGGGCTTGAGTTGGGCCTTTAACTAGTTTGGGGTCGGGTTAGGTTGCTATTACTTCGGGTCTGCTCCGACATAACCCCAGACAAATCGAGTATCTACAGCTACCCCTCTTTGCTCATTTTCGTGTAACGAGAATAGAGCAAAGATCAAAAGATGATCGAGTTTGTCCGGTCCTAAGAACTTCAAAAGATTAAAGCACTCTACTATTACTTCGGGATAAATGAAACTTGAAAAATCTTCAAATGACGGGTCCCTCCCTCTTATTCAGGGATTAAGGAACTCGAACAATCTTCTAAAAATGGGTTCGCTCCCTATTGCTTCAAGGAGTAGAACTCGAATAATATTCTGCTTACGGGTTCGCTCCCTCTTGCTTCAATGGGTAGAACTCAAACACTCTTCTGCCTACGGGTTCACTCCCTCTTGCTTCAGGGAGTAGAACTCAAACAATCTTCTGTCTACGGGTTCGCTCCCTCTTGCTTTAGGGAGTAAAACTCGAACAATCTTCTGGTGTGATTCTTCTACACTATTCTCCCATGAAGGCTCAACTTCGAAGGTTAAACCTGAAAATCAAACGTTGCCACTCATTAATGTATGCTTGAAGATTTGAAAAACATTATACTCAAAAAATTTAAAATTTAAGAGAATCTTTGAGAATCCATTTCTCTTGAGGGAGCTTGTCTCGCAACAACTAGATATGAGAATCTTCTTGGACTCGGCTACCATCTGAACCTCTCTCTTCCTGGGACCTTGAATTGGTTAATGACTCCTCGTGCACATTTCCTTTTAATCAATTGATCCGCTTCTTTATACTCGAGAACCTTCGCTTTCCTCCCATATCTTATGATCTGATGACTTGCTCTAACACTCTTCCGAGAAGGCTTAAAATGGCCCGGAGGACTTATCATCTCGCTCGAAAGACTTACAAATGACCCAAAGGATTTCATCATCATGCTCGAAAGACTTACTGATGAATTTGTTTCACTACTCTTCGGTGAAGGCTTACAAATTACCCGAATGATTTAATCATCATGCTCGAAAGACTTACTGATGGCACTTACTGATGGGTTTGCTTCACTACTCTTCCGTGAAGGCTTACAAATTACCATAAAGATTTAATCATCATGCTCTAAAGACTTACTGATGGCCCTATGGATTTAAGCATCATGCTCGAAAGACTTATTGATGGCCCGAAGGACTTACTAAGTGCGAAATTTCGAAAAAAAATTCTTCTTAGTTTTCAAAGGTTTTATTTTCTTAAAACATCACTTTCTTATTTTTCAAACTCATGTGAAAACATCCTACCTGAAGGTCTTACGGATTGCCCGAATAACTTATCATCTTGCTCTAAAGGCTTATAGATTATTCGAAGGATTTCATCATCATGCTCGAAAGACTTATCGATGGCCCGAAGGACTTAAATTGTTTACTGGGTAAGAAACCTTACTTATTTTTCAAAATCTCAAATTTCATATTTTAATGAGAAATCCTTCTCATTTCACTTCATAAAATGACTTAATGGTCGGTCCATGTGCCCCACTTCAAAGCAATGTTTCCTCTGTGGATTGACCCTTGTGTTCCTCAGGTTCTGCATCTCTAAACATGATTCATTGTTTTTGATGTTTAACTTCTACCTTTCAATTATTGGGATTTTAACATCCTGTATTTTTTCTTTTCACTGGAAGACCTGTCAAAATCATGGGTTTATGTATGAAACACAAATGCAATTAAATGTATTAGTGTAATGCATTTTCTTTTATGCAAATGATGTTCTTATGAATGCATAAATGTCAATTCAATCTTCATTTGACTTCAAAGTGGCGAACTCAGTCTTCTTCTACTTGATCATTCCTTTCCAGGGTTTACTTTAGATACCCGTGCAACATTTCATAATTTCCAAATTGTATTTCTTAAGAGCCATCTGATCTTCTTCTACATTCTTGTTGTCTTCGTTTTCTATCTTCATTTCG